TAATCCTCCTAATACTACTAATAATAATAATAACAATAATAATAATAATTATAATTATAATTATAGTACGAATATTAATAATAATAATAATAATAATAATACTAACAATAACTATAATTATAATATTACCAATAATAGAAATAATAATAATAATAATAATAATATTAATAATAATAACAATAATAATAATAATAATAATTATAATAATAATTATAATATAGATATTAATAATAAAGAAAGTTTAAGGAATTATAGTTATAGAAATTTTAATATTAATAATATCGAAAATGTTGATGATTTTATTAATAATAATTTAAGAATCTATTACAAAAAATTAAAATCTATAAAATTAAATAATATAAAATTAACCCAATTAAGAGAAATTGCAGAATTATTGGGGTTATCAAAATCTGGTAATAAATCAGATTTGTATGAAAATATTTGTCAAGTGTTTTCGCTCAAAAATAATTTGGCTAATGAAGAAATTCAAAAAAAAAATATAAACCCATTTAAAAACTCCCAACCACCATTAAAAATTACAGAAAACATCGAATTTTCAGAAATCCTCTTTTGGAAGGTATTTAGAAATAAGTTTTTATTCAATAAAATATTTTCAAACTTTATATTCAAGTCCACCCACACCTATGATAGACTAATCAATATAGTTGGCATTATCAATGAATTTACAAATGGTGTTGCAATTATTTTGGATAAAGTTAAATGTGGCCGATACATCTCATTCGACTCTGAATCATTAAAGTATACTGGCCATTTATTTTTATTTTCAAAAATATTGAAACCAACACAAGAAAACAAGGTTTTTTACCACCAACTGTTCAATAAATACCCAAAGTATTTCCTTCTTCCAGAGAGACTTCTGCCAGTAATAGTCAATGGTCACAATATATTTGCTTTTGGCCTATTTGTAGAATATTTTAATTTTTCAAAAAACCAAGTCAAGGAAATTTTAAAGAAAGAATTACCAGATTTTAAAATTCAACATTATCAATCTTTCAAAATCTTTCAATATTTAAAAGAGAATTATTCATTACCAGAAAGCAATGATGAGTTAGATATTAGAACTCTCAGTTTATTTAACTCCACTTTCAAATTTAAGCAACTTATCAAACTATGCAAAATAATAACAAAATATCGACTATATGATAATAACTTTAGTAAATTTAGAGATATATCAACCCCAAATCAAAAAAAATTTATTAAAAATAAAATTTTAAGTTTGGAAGAAATTGAACAAATTGAAAATATTTTTACAAAACAACAATTAAATTTAACAATTATAGATTTAATAAAATCAATATATAGTAATAATAATAATAATAATAATAATAATAATAATAATAATAATAATAATCTTTTCAGTATTAATAGTATTATTTCTACAAATTTACCTTCCTCTTCCAATAATAACTCAAATAATAATAATAATAATAATAATAAATTAAAAAATTTAATTTTTAAATTTGTTAAAATGTTTTATTCAATTTCTAAAATCGATAAACCACCTAGATATTATATAATGTTTAAGAGTCCAGACTATATTAAAAAGAAGTTTAAAGAAAAAAATTTAAAGATCTATGAATACTATGAAGAGTATTTAGAAAGATGTTATTCAACTTCAGAACAAATAGAGTTTATAGAAGAACAAATCCAAGACTATAGAAGACACGAATCACAGAAAGAAGAAAATATGAGAATTAATAAACTCGTTTCATTATTTGAAAACGAAGAAAAGAGTGAAGAGGGCCTAGATCCCCATGATGATTCAAGTGAACCAGATTTTTTTGAAATAAACTCTGATGAACTCGACGAAGATATTAATTTAAATCAAGAAGAGAATTTAGTATCAGAGGCTTTCATCGATTTTTTTAATGATATCGAAAAGAAAGATGAGCATTTTCCAATACTTAATTTAATATTAGCAGTTTTAGAGTTGGATAATATTAAATCAATTCGATATATCTTCAACAATCATTTCGATACCGCAAAAACCTTTCTCTACTCATATAGAAAAGAACATATAAAAGCTATAAAATCTACCAAAACTTTAGATTTCTTTTTCGATACTTTTCATCTAAATAATTTTTTATTCCAAGACCGAAACTCCTATTGGTATTACCTCACAAGCTTGCCACTTATCGAACATTATGAACAGAAAATGGGTTCACTAAATAGAATCTTAACAATTGACAACCATCCGTCTAACTATGAAATTAATGGTATACCCCCGGAGGAAAAAGAAAATTCATTTTCATTAGAATTATTACTTCGAGGTTTATCAAAAACAAGGCCATCAATCAAAATAACAGATACTACTCCTAAAACCACTACCACCACTACCACCACTACCACCACTACTGTCCCTGCAAAACCCATATCAAATCCTAATAATCTATCCATTAAAGATAAATTTCTCAATAGTGATTATTCCCAAAATAGTACCGCTACTTTTAACAGCACTTTCTTTAACAGCAGCAACAACCACTACTTTGATACTAACAGTAGTAACCACTTCCTTAATAAAAACAAAAACAATTATAATAGTAATAATAGCCTTTTCTTCGATATCAACAAAAATATTAATAATTTCAATAATCTCAGTAATTTGAAAAATCTCAATCCCAAAATCAATAATAACAATGATATTAATATTTTCAACAACAGCAAACCAATTTATGCAATTGGAAACATTTCAATTAATAGCTTTTCAAAATTATTTGAAGAATGTATTATTAAACATAAACAAGATCTTATAATATCTGCTTTTATTAATTTTAATGTAGGAAAAATCAATTTTGATAAAATCTTTTCAGATAAAATTATTGTATCAAAACTCCACAAGATTGGTCATTGGGTATTTTCAAATTGTGAAAATATACCAGATATTACATCACATAAAGTAAGATTACCCGTTAAATTCAATCAAGATGGGCAAGAAAAAACCATAATCATTAAAATGATGTTATCACAAATGGTTAGACTACTCTATGCCTGCGGTAGATTCAGTGAAATATTTAAAATTAAAATACCAATCGTCTTAAGTAGAATTTTCTTTATACCTTTAATTGAGGTCGTATCATTCTCAATACATTACAGTGTCCGTTTTATAGAAGAAATGATCAAATACTTTTACAGAAGCAAAGAATCAATTAAAATACAAAAACCAATTTCAGAAGCAAATGTTATTTTATCAGAAGACCATGAACATATTATCGAAAAAATCATTTTAATTAGCTTCCATATGGCTGCAGTAAAAGGAAATTTACCAATTTTTAATTTTGTATTTCTTAAATTTCCAAATTTCTTAAAAAAGAAAATTAAAAACAACAACAACAACATCCATAATGAGGGTATTTATGATATAAAAGAATTAAAGGAAATATTAAGAATTGCATTGGTTTCAAATTCTCTTGAAATTATTCAAATTTTATTAAAGTGTGGAATTACAAAAACCAAAAAAGAAGTTCAAGCATTACCAGGCACAAGTTTAGTTTTAGAATATTTTAAAAATGATTTTAAATAAAATAAATAAATAAATAAATAATTTATTTCAAACCCAACTTTTTATTTTTTTTTTTTTTTTTTTCATCATTTTCTTTTTTCTCTTTTTTATTTTTTTTTTATTTATTCCAAGATTCTTGGACATTCTTTAAAAAAAAAAAATAATAAAAAATAAAATAAAAAAATAAAAAATAAAAAAAATCAAATTAATTAATAACAACAACAATATCAAGATTTCTTCCTTATATAAAAATTCTTAGCGTCTTTATATTTATGTAAATGACAACTTTGATTGCGAAATATGAGACCAAAATGGAATCATTTCAAAAAAAAAAAAAATAAATAATTTTAAAAAAATTAAAAAAAAATAAAATTTTATTTTTTTTCATTTTAAAAAAATAACAACAACAAACATAATGCTATTAAATTTTTTTTTTCTTTTATATAATTAACTATATTTTTTTCCTTTGTAATAAAATTTAAATAATAATGTTTATTTCATGTAGCTAGTATTTTTTTTTTTTTTTTTTTAATATATTATTTCAAAAATTTAAAATTTAAAATTTAAAAAATATTTAATATTATAAAAAGTATTAAGTATTATAAAAAATATTAATAATAGTACTTCTATTTTATAGAAATTAAAATAAAATATAACTAATTAATAATAATAAAAAAAAAAATAATAATAATAATTAAAATAGTTATTATTTATTAAATTATAAAAAGATAATGAATAAAAATAATAATATTAAAAAAAGAGAAAGAGAGGAAGAAGTAGGAGAAGAAGAAGGAAAAATAATTGGTGTTTTATCAAAGAGCGATAAAAGTAATAAAATAAAGAAAAATAGTAATAATATTGATTCAATTAAAGATTTAAGAGATTTTAAAAAATTAAACTATAACTCTACTAAACTAAAGCAATTTCAAGAGATATCAACATTTTTGGGTATTAAAGTATGTGGTAAGAATAAATTAGAGGTGTATCAAAATATAGAGAAGCATTTAGAGTTTAAAGAGAAAATTGAAAAAGATTGCAACCCAGTGGATGAAACGAATGCATTTAATAAACCACAACCTAGATTGACCATCACCGAGAACATTCAAGTTACAGAGATCCTCTTTTGGAAGGTTTTTAGAAACATCTATATCTTTAATAATATATTTAGTAACACCAATTTTCCATTCAAGTCAATCTGCAGTTATCAGAGATTAATTAATACCAAAGATATAGTAGAGTCGTTTAGCAACGGTATTGAAATCATTAGAGATAAAATCAAAGCGGCCAAATACTTTACCTACAATAGTTTGGAGTTCATATACAACAACATTACCAAAGAGTCCGAAGAGAACATTCAGTTTTACAACCAGCTATTCAAAAATTATCAAAAGTATTTTATTGTGCCTCAAGTTGCGTTGTCAAGTATCATCAAAAGTTCCAACATTCTGGTTTTTAAGCTATTCATTAAACATTTTAGTCATATCAGTATCAATGAAATCAACAATATAGTAAATCATAACTATACACCAATTGGAGATAATATAGCAAATAGTCATTACGATCCATCAATAGATAACAATATTATTAGTTCCATTAACAACTATAAACATTTAAAAATGTTAAACTACCTAATAACAAATCAATATTTCACCAACACAACTGTATGCATAAACCTCAATAATATCACTACCACATCATCACCAACATTAAAAAAATTGATAAAAATTATAAAAATCATTATAAATTTAAATTCATTCAATTTAACAATAGAAAGAGATATAAAAAATAAATATGAACATTATATTGGTTTATATAAAAATGGAATTTATAATGATTATGTTGTAAATATTAATAGAAATAATAATATCAATAACATTAATAATAGTAATATGGGTAGTAATAATAATAATAATAATAATAATAATAATAATAATAATATAAATATAAATTTAGAAAATAATAAGTTATTATTAAAAGATATAGAATCATATAATTTCACCAAAGATCAATTAAATAGTGATTTTTTAAAGATTTTATCAATTGTAAATTTTTTAAACGATAAAGATAAAGATAAAATTAATAATATAATAGATCTGTTCATCTCAATAACCAAAGATAATATATTATTATATACAGATCAAGTAACAATAAATAGTCATAAATCAATAACTATAAAAAACATAGATCAAATTTTTTTATTTAATTATTTATATAATAATATTAGTAATACAGATAAATATGAAATAATTTTAAATTATTTTGAATTATTTTTAAAATCAGTAAATCTATATTTATTATTAATTTCAATAATAAAATTAGATGATTTTGAATTAATAGAAAAAATACACCAAAAGTATAGTCAAGAATTAAATACATTATATTCAAATTGTGATTATATAGTAGGCTTGGTAATAAACTCAATAAGGTCAACTCAAGTATTAGAGTTTTATTTCATAAACTATAAGGAAATATTTTTCGCAAATGAAAATTCATTTTGGCAAAGTATATCAAGTATGGATGTTTTAGAGCATTACGAAACATTGATGAAGAGAACCAATAGATTCATGCTTATCGATAGTAATTATGAAATGCTATTTCTTGAAGATCAAAATTCATGTACTCTCAGTTACAATAATAATCCAATTCTATTAAAGCTACTTCACAGATCTCTAATGTCATGGCACCAAAACCAAGAGCAACCAACCCTTTACCAAATTTCAAAGCCATTCAAAATCGAAGTATATTCAAAATATTTAGTAGAGTGTTTAAAATACAATACAAATAGTGCAGATTTATTAGTTTCGATATTCAACATATTCAATGAAATAGATTTCATTCAATTATTAGCATTATATAGATTATTTCCATTTAAAGTACTATATTGGGTATCAAGCAATTACTCTAGCGAGAAACAGATAGACTCGTCACCAAATAGTAGAATCTACTCAACAGCAATCAGTGTTTTGAACCCAATTTATAATCAGCGTTCAATTCAGATCCAAATTACATTTGAGCAATTATGCTTTGCTTTTATATATGGTCGTAGATTCGAGGAGGCTATTGTGCTCATACTCCAATTCGCAAGTGGTATCAACATCGATTTCGTAGTGTTCCCAAAGTTTTTTAAATCAAGTATACTTTCAGTCGAATTCTTTGAACAGATCATTCACTTTTACCTAAGATTACAAGAAAAAGATGTTTCTGAACCTGAAACTCAAAGAGGTGGGCTTCAACAACAACAATCATATAAAATAACTTTAAAATATCTCATTGAAAAAATTTTGATGGACTCTGCTCAAGATGGCAACTATGATCTCTTTAAAATGTTTATTTTTAAATTTGGTCATTTAATAAAGAAAAAAGGTCAACCTCTGCTATGCAAATCTAAAATTAACGATATCTTGGATATGGCAATACTTTCAAATAATTTAGAAATTATCGAAATTTGGTCTTCATATTGTAATTTTTCAAAAAAAAATTTAGATAAAATTAAAAATAGAAATTTATTAATCTATAATTATTTCAACAATAAAATTAAATAAACCAATACTTATTTTTTTTTTTTTTTTTATTTAAACCAAAATCTCAAAAAAATAAAAAAATTTCTTTATTATTCAAATTTTTTATTATTCAAATTTAAAATAGTATTATCTCTAATAAAAATGTGAATATGGTTGTTATGAGCTTTCAATTGATGCTTACGTATAGTTTTTTCTTAGTATGTTTTGTTACTTAACAAAATGGAATTTTTATTCTACCCATTATTATTTTTTTCTTCTTTTTCATTACCACTACCTTCTCATCCTTCTTTAAATTAACAATTAAATAAACAAAACAAATAGTTTTTTAAAAAATAGTTCCAATGACAATGTATTTTTAAATAAAGTTAAAATTTTTATTTTTATTTAAATAAAATTTGTTTATTATTTGGAAATAATTATGATTATTTGAAAATTATTTCACTTTGTTAACTTTATATTTTAATTTTCAACTGCAATATAGTCAATAGAGATATCGTATATTAAGTTATTTACCCATGTAGTAAATTTAACATCAAAGCCGGTTGCTGTGATATTGATAGCCTCGATACGGTATCTCAATTGATTATTATCAGTTGCTTCATCAATATGGGTAGTTGTGAGGGAAACCATTGGTACCTTACCGAATGATCTACCAAATTGAACATTACGAATAGCTTCACGAACGCCATTACCAGAATTAAGAGTTCTATCACCAATGCAAGTGTGACCAATTTGCACAAAGTTACTTACTGCTGGTTTGGTATAAAGTTCCCAACTATTTTTTAAAAAAAATAATAAATTTATATACATTAGTATAATATTTTTAAATTTTAATTTTGTTTTTTTAATTATTTACCGAAGTGAAATGTGGCTATTCCATGTTACTGGATGGATAGAAATAGATCTTGCACGAATTGGTTGTGGGAATACATGAGTTACAACTGTGCTTCTATCAGTATTTCCATTGAAAACTTGACCATTGTTATAATCAACCCAAGTAACATTGTCAAAGGAGTATCTGATTTTATATGAAGTAACCCATTGATCTGAATAAAAATAATTTTTACAAAGTTAATAATTAAAAAAATTTTACATTTTAAATAAACAAATATAAAAAATGAATACATACCAAATTCACCACGACCTTGAGTTGAAATAGCAACAAAATCACTTACTACTAAACTACCTGCAACAATAAATTGGTTCTTATCATTGATTGAGGCACACCATGCTTCCGATCCATCAAATCTGTTGGTTTCTTTTGAGTTGGTAAAGTTTAAAACAGAGTTTTTAGCACCATGATCAGCATTATGGTCAGTTGAACTACGTAAATTCAACAAAGCATTGGCCAAACATGCAACACTACCAGCTGGGACTGTGGACATTTTGAATTTGTTTTTTTGAAGATTTGGAAAAACTAGAAAGCTAAGATATTAATTTATAAAAGATATAGAATTTATTTGTTTATAAAAATGATATAAATAAATAAATGATATTAAAATAATTATAATTAATAAAAAATATTTTGGGTTTAAATATTTTTTTTTTTCAATCACTTTTCATAATATGTAAGAGGTTAATATCCAAAAAAAGTAATCACTACGCTATTATATATGATGTTATAAAAATTTGAAAAAGGTTTGAGTTAACCACTCAAATATTTTTTTTTTAAATTTTTTTTGTTAAATTAATCTTTTTTTTTGGGGTAAAAAGAGGTTTTAATTTATTATTATTATTATTATTATAATTATTATGTGTGGTTAATATTAATAAAAAAATTGAAAAAATTTGATGTAAATAATTATTTTAAATTTTTTTTAGGTCTCCAATGTTGTAAAATTAATTTTTGGGGGATAAAAGAGGTTTTTTATTTATTATTTATTTTTCTTCTATTAATATTCTAATTTTCATCCATACAAAAAAAAAAAAATTGAAAGGTTTAATTTAAACCACCCAAATTTTTTTTTTTTTTTAAGTTAATATTAAGTTTTTTTTTGGGGGAGAAAAGAAGTTAACACATATATTCTATTGTTTTTTTAATTTTTATTATTTCTTTTTTTTATAAATTTAAATTTAGTAAAAATAGAACCACCAATATTACAAATTAAAGTCTTTAATAGTTGAACAAAGTTGATAATTTATACAAGTAAAAACTGATAAAATTTATTGATTTTATTATTATTAATTTTTTTCAACAAAAAGAATCAATATAAATCCAAAATAAAAAATGAATCGAAATATCAGTTGAAATTAAATCATTATAAAAATTAATTAAAACAATTTTAAAAAGAACAACAAATAGTTCAGATTTAATAGACGCAATAAATTATATTATAATAGTAATATATATAATTATATTAATGGAGAAACAAAAGAAATACAATCTAAAATTATAAATATTGTAGATAATAAAACACCAAAAACAAAATCAACCAAAACAAATACAATGAATGTAGATAAAGAACAAGATCAAGAAATGAAAGAAATTGAAGATCAAGAGATGAATATTATCGGACTAAAGTAAGAAATTATACACCAAAAGATTTTACTTTTTTTGAAATAACAAACACTAATTTATTAACAAGATAATTTTTATCACTTAAAAACCTTATCATAAATTTCATAGAGTGCACTATTGCTTACCCAAAAGTTATCTTTGATAGTGGCGAACTAAAAAATATACTTTCATTAGCATTTTCTTCAAGATAGACATTTTAGAAATTATATTAAATTATTATATAGTTTTACAAAAAATAAACATTTTGGTGATTAATAAATTTTTATTTTTTTATTTTTTTATTTATTTGCGTTGTTATCTTCATTACAATTTATATTATTGTTATTACTATTATTATCTAATTTAATTTTTTTTAAAGAATTTTCATCGTTATCTGTTTCTGTTGTTGAAACATTATTTTCTTCTTCGTTGTGGCTATCCTCTTCTTCCTCTTCTTCCTCTTCTTCCTCTTCTTCTTCATCTTCTTCATTTTCTTCTTTATCATCATTACAACTACCTTCGCTCTTTCTTCTTTTCTTTTTTTCTTCAAATTTTCTTTTGGGTATAACTTTTTCAAAAGCATCTTTCCAATTGTTACAAACTAAAAATTCATTTAAAATTTGGAATACATGATTTACTGCTAAAACTTTTCTTGAAACCATTTTAATGAACTCCCCAATTGGTAATTGAGCAGTTGCGATACCTTGAGAATTTGCTTTTTCGAATGTGTAACCCTTCAAACGATTGTAATCTACAATAGCACCTATAATATACTTTTTATTTGGGTCTAACTCGGTGATAACATTTGGTGAGTCTGAAGTTAAATAAACCAACTCGTCCTTACTGAATTTTTCAATATATGGTTCTTCGTAGCACTGTAACATTTTAAATGGACATCCTTTGTGTAACTCTTGTTTTATCTCTGGAGTGACCCCAGTTGCATGTAAATAAACTGGTTTTTGTGAAATGGTATTGGCACTATGTAAGAAAGACATCTGAGTGATTAATGACTTCTTTTCTTTCTCTGACATTTTATCATACATTTCAAAGTCAAACAAAACATTACCAAAATATTCTAATGTGCTAATATCCCTATTTTTTAAAAATCTTAATTTAATTGCCTCTGATCTTTCTTCTTCTGTCATTTGTTCTCTTTTTTTCTTTCTATTTTCTTTCTTTTTTTCTCTTAAAAATATTTTTTTTTTATCTTTAAATTCTTCCCATCTTTGTTTTTTAATTAATTTTTTTTGTGCATTTTTTGATAGTTTTGGTTGTGATTCTTCTGTTGTTGTGGTTGTTGTGGTTGTTGTGGTTGCTTCTGTATTACTACTATCTATATTATTATTACTATCACTTGTTGTTGGTTCTATTGTATCAAGTGTTTTAGTTTCTGTGGTTGTTTCCATTTTTTAAATTTAAATTTAAATGAAAAAAAATAAATAAAAAAAAAATTAAAAAAACGAAAAAAAAAAATTAAAAAAATAAAAATAATTTTTTTTTTTTTTTTTAATTTAATTCTTTGGTTATTTTGGTTTAAAAAAATTGTTACCCCCACCAAACCCATCATAATAAATGCTCTTACCTTTTTTTTTCAATATTTAACTTTGTTTTATTCTTTTCTATCCATTTGTTATAAATTTTTTTATTAAATTATTTTTTAAAAACAGTAATGAATTTTGTTTTTTTTTACATATTTAAAATGGTGAAATAGAAATTTAGATTACTTTTAGTTTTTTTAAAAGATTTGTATTTTTTTGTTGTAATAAATATTGATTTGTTTTTAAGATGTTTGGTTATTTTTGTTTTCCCCAACCATTGATTTGTTTTTATTTTTTTTTTTATTTTTTTATTTTTTTTATTTTTTTTTTATTTTTTATTTTTTTTTCGTAAAATATTAACAACTGAAAATTCAGTATAAAAATAAATTAAATAGATATAGTAAATAGCATATATATAAATAAAATGATACCAATTACAGAAAATAACAATAATAAAAATAAAGAATTAAATGTAGAGTTTTTTAAAGATAAAGAAAATAAATTAAATGTTAAAATTATAACAGAAAGATTATTAATTAGAAATGTTACAAGCGATATAGAGGATAGAAAGAAATTTCATAAACTTTTAACAGATCCAATCAATACTAAAAAGTATGGTTTTGGTGTTCAAACTATTGACCAAATTGATAAAGAATATAATGAATGGTTGGAATGCTGGGAAAATAATGACCCATGTGGTGGATTAATGGTATTTTTAAAAGAAACTAACGAATTTATAGGTCATGTTATGTTAATGCATGGAAAAGTTCCGGGAGAAGCTGAGATTGCTATCATTCTCGACAAAGACTATCAAGGTAAACAATATGGCACCGAAATGATACACTCAATGGTCCAACAATATTCATTAGCTATTATCAATGAAGGTTTATTAGTTTTAGGTAAACCATTATACACTCTATATGCCACCGCTCGTGTTGATAATCATGGTTCAATGAAAATCATTCAAAAAGCCGGTTTAGTTTATTACCATCAAGAGGTTTTATATGGATTTTTAAGAAATTTTTATAGATTAAATTTATAAATAAAAATAATATAAAGGAAAAAGATTTTTTTTATTTAATAATTGTTGTTTAGTATTGTTGTATGGATTATCACCATCTTCTCCAGGGTGGACCTCTCCAAGATGGGCCCCAATATGGGTTCCAATATGGATTACCCCAGGATGGACCTCTCCAATAGGGACCCCTCCACATGTTTGCAGTTTTGTTATCACCTGTGGTTATTTCATCACTGACAGTGTCAATCTTTGAATCTGAACTTGACGAATGTTTCGAGCTTGTGGTATCACCGAGACTAGTTAGACACTCTATATATATTTAATAAAATGGTTAATATTATTTATTTCTATGTAATTATTTTATAATACTTACTAACTATAGTCATTTTATAAAATATAATAAACTAATTAAAAATTAATTGATTATATATAAAAAAAAAAAATTATTAAATTTAATTAAAAAAAAAATTAAAAAATTAATTCCTTTTATATATTAATCTGAATGTAATCCATATTTGATATTGCAAGTTTTTTCCTAAAATATTAATATTATTATATTCAATTTAAACATTTGTAATTTTTAAAAATTAATTCAAAAAGTGATTTCTACATGAATAGAAACAACAAACACTGATTATGAATCTTGTTTTGCTACTTTTAGAATATGGAAATAAAATTTCATTTTTTTTTTATTTTGTTTACATATAACCGTTGCATAAATTAATTTCCACAACCCAAATCATCACCATTATTTGAAAAAAATATAAAATAAGTTATTTAAAAAACTTAAAAAACTTAAAAAAAAAAAAAAAAAAATATCTTTTTTTATTTTTTTTTTTTTAAATTTTTTTGTGACCAAATTAGTTTTTTTATTATAAAAAAGACCACGTTATTATAATCCATTCTCAGATATTTAAAAATATCAAATGGAGTGTTATAAAAACCACTTATTTTTTTTTTTTTTTAAACATTAAAAAAAAGTATTTAAGAAATAAGTTTTTTTTTAAAATATATTTTTAAACAAAAAATAAAATTTAATTATTATAATAAATAAAAATAAATATAAAAAAATTAAATAAAAATGCTAAAGATTATTGGTTTTATAATTATTTTAATTGCATTTGGGTTGTTTACCGTTAGTTTTGGTACATATTGGTATAATTATCAATACGTAAGCACCGAAAATGATGATAAATATATGAATTTATACAGTTACAATAAATGGAGAACAGTCGAGTATTATGACGGTAGAAAAATATATGACGAAACAATCAAGTATAAAAGAGAGGGTAGGGAACATGAAATACAAATATTTGAAGCATCTCTCTCATTTAGTGTTTTGGCTTGGCTTACATTAGCTTTATCACTCTTTCTATACATTTTATCTTTCTGTGGTATTATCAACAAAGTTCCAGTGATTGGGTCAAATAGGTGCTATTATTGGTAAGTTTATTTTAAATTGCTGGTTCTGTATTTGGTTTACTTTCATTATTTATTTTTGTGGGGGGGGAAAAAAAAAAAAAAAAAAAAAAAAAAAAAAAAAAAAAAAAAAAAAAAACTAATATTAATGTTTAAATTTTATATAGGGGTTAGCTAATGCTAAAGATAGAGACTGCAGTTGCGAAGGTAACAAGTTTGTATACACTTACAATAGTGAATTTGAATCAAGAAAGTATTACGCAGGTCCATATGTTGGATGGTTTGTTGTAGTAATAGGAACATTCTTCACCATCATTGGTGCTGTCATAAATATTTTTTCAAAAACTTTTAATTTGTAAATCTTTCGAGTCCACAACATTAGTTTAAAATAAAGATAAAAATAAAAATAAAATAATTAAAAATAAGTGGGACTATTTTCATTTTAAAAATATTATATTAACTTAAAAGATAATCTCTTTTTTTATTTTAAAACTTAAATAGTTTATTTTTTATTAAAGAAAATTTTATAAAGTTTAAAAATAAAGTAAATTCATAAAATAGAAAAAAGATTAGTTGATGAAATAGAAGGTACGTTAAAAAAAAGAAAAAAAAAAAGGTCAAAACAAAGTTTTAAAAATAAAATTTTAATTAGTTTATTTATTGCTAACATTGTCTTTATATCATGCATGTTTTTTATCCCTTATTATTCAATTTGGGACCTATGGTATTATAATTTTGTATTTATTATTTAACATCTTGTATTGGAGGATACAACAGTCACATCTACTTTGCTATTCTCAGTAATGGTTTAAAATATAAGATAAATACAAAAATAAAAACAATTGATTTTTCTTTAGAAATGGTTTATTGTATTGGTTTTGTTTTTTTTTATTATAAAATCCAATTTTAGAATTGTAATAATATTTTCTTACATTCACAAGGTTTATTACAATATTTAAAATATAGGGTGATGGTGGTTTAAAGTAGACCCTCAACATGGAATATTAATTCCAACAATAGTAAATATAACAATACAATTCATTAACAATTATTATATACTATTATTGGAAGAATATTTAATTTTAAATCAAATATTATAATGTGAGATATTTTTTGAAATTAAAGATTAATAATTTTATATAAAAAACAGGGGTGGGGTTTAGGGGTAAGATGTTATTTTTTAAAAAAAAAAAAAAAAATTAATAAATTATTGTGGGGGAACAGATAAATTACAAAATAAAAATAGTCTTAAATTTTTAAAATCTTCTTGGTTTTGACACTTTTTCGAGTTATATATTTCAAAAAATAAAGAAATTTAATTATAATTATTTTTATAAAATTACATAAAAATAAATAAAAATACATTAATTTTATTTTTATTTATATAAAACTTTATTAATAATAATAGTAATAATAGAAATAGTAATAATAGAAATAGTAATAATAGTAATAATAAATTTAAAAAAGAAAAAATTTATCACCCATTTTTTTTAGGAAATAGTTTTAAATTTAAAAAGAAATGTCAACTTTTATAAAGGTATTTGGTTTTGTTTTAACAATATTTTCATTAGCCTTGTATACCATCGGTGTATTTTCATACTGGAGACAAAAAGAATTTTCATCAATTGAAGATGACAGAAAGAGTGTAGAGTACTTCAGCGCCTATAAGCATAGATATTTGTATATAAATGAAGAGGGTATAAAGAAATTTGACGATACCGTATACTTTTTATATGATGATGCTTCAGATGTCAACTACCAATTTTACTTCTTTTCACTTTTATTCTGCTGTTTGGCATGGGCCATGAGTTTCGTCTCTGTATTTACCTATATAATGTCATTTATTGGTTTAATCTATAAATCTCCAATCCACGGTAAAAGAGTTGCATCACTTGGTAGATACATCTTAATCCCAGCTTCTGTTTTTGGTTTACTTTCTGTTTTAATTTTTTCTGTAGGTTTATTATTATTATTATTATACTAAAACTATAATTATTATTATTATTTTACTAATATGGTTATATTTATTATAATTTATATAGGGACATACATTCACAATAAATAGATTATATGATATGGAAATGAAATTTATGGACTATGGTGTTGAAGATAAAATTAAATACTACGAGGGTCCATCATTAAGCTATTTTGCATGTATGGCTGGTTCTTTATTTACTATAATCGCTTGCATAATTAACTTAAAATCAAAGATTTTCGAACTATTAAATATTTAGGAAAAAAAATTATAAATAAAAATACTTTTAAAAATTTTAAAATAAACATAATTAAAAAACCCGAATAAGTACCCCTTTTATCATAATGCATATAATAATTAGTTGGATAAAATTAAATAATTAAAAAATTTTTTCGTTTTTTTATAAAATTTAATTTTTTTTATTTTTTTTTTTTTTAATATTTTATTTTTTTTTGTTATTTTTTTTTTTTTTTATTTTTATTTGTAAAGATGAATAGAATAGTAAATGTATTTAATAAAAGTCATAAAAATACATTTAATGTTTTGCCAAATACATTAAAACCAGGTATTCAGGTTAGAGATTATGCGTCTTTCAACCAAGCCAAATTTTTAAATAATGCTTTTAATAAAAACAATAATAATAATAATATAGAAAGCAATAATAATTATAATAACAATAATCAAAATAATACAATAAATAATAATAATAGTAGTAATAATAGTAATAATAGTAATACTAATAATAATAATAATAATAATAATAATAATAATTCTGCAACTATAAATAACGATGAAAAAAAAATTAAAAAACCAGTTGGTCCAAATAGTAATTCATTGCAGAAAGCCATGTTATTAGTTAATATAAAAGATCTATTTAAAAAAAGACCTTTGGTTGCAACAGACTTGTGTGTATTTTTTTTAAATAAAATTTTATGGAAAATCATTTATTAATTTTTATCTTTTTTTTTTTTTTTTTTTTTTTTTATTAATTTAGGATTTCAAGAAATTTAAAACAAGGAAATTTAAATAATCATGATATGGAAATATTATTTCAGTGGTCACATGATAATAAATATTTAAATCATGTTGATATTATTCATCTCTTTTTATCACATTTTACAGGAGTTAATGATATAAGTAGAATAAAGAAATTAATAGTTTTATTTTCATTTGGTATTGAAATGGATGTAAAGACCTGTGAGACTTTAATCAAGTATTTTACAATTTCAAAGATGCATGAAAATTTAAAATCAATTTTAGAATCTTGTATTAGTAAAGAGAATGGGTTAGAGTTTACAAAAAAGACCTATCAAGAGTTTATAACCTCATTTTTAGAGTTGGATGATATTGAAGGAGCGCTAAAATACTATCCAAAGGTAAAACCAGAAACATCAAGTTGGTTAGAGATTGTTAAATACTATATAAAGAAAGGAAAAAATCAAGATGCCATCAATTTCTTTAAAATGGATGCAAAGGACCACAAAGAGTCATTCTTTTTATCTGGTACATTTTCATCTCTAATGAAGAATTTCTCTGAAACCGATTCAGACGATATTCTCTCTTTTCTCCTTGAAACAGAATTAATGGATGAAAATTCAATCAATTTGTTTTTATCAATGCACTTGGAGAACAGCTTAAAGACTTCATCCTATTTAATTCGTAAATGGTCAAGAACCATTCCAATGGAGCATTTATACACAAAATTGGTAAAACAAACAATTATTGTTGATGATCTAGAGGAAATTTTAACTCTTATTCAAGACAAAAATATCAAAAATCTTTTCACCATAAATATCCCAACCTATGCAATCATTTTAGAGATGGCAGATGCTAATCAAAGACAAGAAAAAAGAAAGATTTTAAATTCAAAAAATTATGACCCAAATACCCCAATTGAAATTTCCTGGGATTCAAACTTTGAACAAATTATTAACCACATAACATCTCTAGATCCAAAAGGAAACGAATTATCATCTTTAATATTTTACGCTCAAATAAAAGAAAAAACTGAACTATTCCAAATGTTAACAGAAAGTTTAAACAATCAAAAACCTGAATACATCGACAAAGTAACCTGCCAACTCGTCAAGCATTTCACAAAAGCAAATCACTATGATTTAGCAATGGCATGGATTGGTAATCGTTTGGTCAATTACAACTTTCAAAATAATGCATATATCTACCACTCTCTCCACGAGGTTGAAGCAAGTAACTTTTTAGGTCAATTTTGGTTTGGTCAATTATCATTACAACCAATAATTTCCGATCTATCACATACAGAATCATCATTCAAAATAGATCAAATGATGATCTTACTCGAATCATCCCTACAAGAACACGAAGAAAGAAACAGAAACAACTCTAAAAACAAACCAATTGATTCAAAAGATATCTATATTAAACGTTTATTTTCAAAATCAAACATTGACGAAAACTTGGTATTGGAGAATTTAGAAATGAACAAAGAAGTTAACTTACAATTAGAACAATTGTTAAAGAAAAAGATTGAAAATGTAGCCAGAAATGGAGGAACCATTAAATACGAGGGTTACAGATCCACCAAAAACTATTCAACAAACAATTGGTTACCAAAAGAATTTTCAAATAGCTCTAGATATGTACTTTCAGAATATGACGCTCAATTAAAAATGGCAATTGACAATAATAATGCTGATGAAATCTATGAAGTTATCAAAAAGAGTTTAGCAGATAATGTTATTCCAGAGAGCAGATTGTTGTTGACCGCATATTACTTTGTATGCGAATACGATAGAAATAAATACATTCAATTACTTCAAGAAACACCACCATTTGTCAGAATGCTCATATTCAATACCAAGTTTTATTATGATTTATTAAAGACCTATCCAGACGTAGCAATCTTTTTATTACAAGGAGAGTTACCACAAAATCTCTCACCAGTATTATTGTATCAAATTCTATTTTTAACATTGAAATCGGGCAGAATTGATTTATTCACTACTTTTGGTACTCTATTAATGGCCACCAACACTCCAATCAATTTAGAATCAATTATTCAGATCTCCAAGACATTGATAGATAACAATATTTCAATTGGCAACTCAAAATTCGTCGTAAAGTTTATTGAATATATTAAAAGTTCAACTAAAATACAATCCATTATCAAAGAAGGAAATGACTTGAAACTAGGTGTCCTATTGAACTCGAACGAATTAAATTTTAGAGACTTTAAAAATATAGATGATTACAACCACAGAATGTCGTTTGCATACACAATTCTATTGAATGAATTGTCACACGCCAATTTAAGCGAAGAGATTATGGAGTGCTTCTCATCATTAGACACATTTGTAAATAACTTATCAATCGAAGTTGTATTAAAACACATTTCAAAACTATATCCAATCCCACCATTATCAAACATTACACAATGGCTTTCATTAATCCAATATTGTAAAAGCCCTCAACAAAAAAAGTATTTTTTATTCCGAATTATTCAAACAACTCTATCACAGTAAACAATATGGCATTAGCGTCAAACTTTTAGAAAAAGATCCATCCATTACAGAATCACTCAACTATAATCTATTCAACTCTATTGTTTCACATGTTCCAAATCTTACACCAAAACTATTAATTAGTCTTTTCCTAAGAGTTCATCCCCTTCTTCCACAGAAAATCCAAGAAATTGAAATTACCGATGAAACTGGTAAAACCAAAGGTCTATACAGTACACAAAAAATTAAAAGTATTTCACCAGAAACAAAATCAAATGCATTATATCAAATTGATCAAGCTTTAAATATGAATCCAACAGAGATCGAAGAAAAACAACTTAAAGAATGGATCAACATATTGGAATTAATCCCATTATCATCTGAACACAGCCTCGAAATTTCAAATGATAGTTTAAATATTATTACTCAAAATTTAGCACCAAAAATTTTATCATATTTCCAATCCAAAAACAGTAATTTAGATTTATCCCAAATGTCTCAATTATCTGAAAATACCTCACCAAGCCAAAGATCCACCGAATTAAAAAATTATTTATCAAATTTAATATACTAATAAATATAATAAATAAAATAAATAAAAAAATTTAAAACAAACAAAAAATGTACAAAGGTACTCTATTTTCGGGTTATTAATATTTATTTTAATTTTTTTTTTTTATAAAAAAACGAAAATTAATTTTATTTTTTTTTATTAAAATTTTTTTTTTTTATTTATTTTATTTATTTTTTTTTTTTTTCATATAAATCACAAATTTAAAGTAAAGCTCTATTACATTTTATATTGATTATATGATATATAAATATATATATTAAAGTAATATATTCAATACATATAATAATAAAAAATGATGAATGTATTAAATAGAAAATGGTGTGGTAATGCCACCAAAAATCTTTTATTGTTAAATACAACAACTACCAAAATAATATCAATTAGAAATTTTTCAACTGAAAACAATAATATTAATAATGGCAATAATAATGAAACTAGCAATAATAATAATAGTAGTACACAAACATTACATTGGGAACCAAATATTACAAATACCAAAAGAATGTTATTAAGAGATAAAATGAATATTTCACCAGAAATTACTAAAAAAATACAACCTCAAGAACCAAAAAAACATTATTATCAACAAGAAAAATATAATAGAAATAATCATCGTCATCACCGTAATCGTGAAGACTCTGGCTCTTTAATCGAGTTTTTTAGAGATTCAGACAAGTTAAATTTAAATAATCCAAATTCGTATGTATTCAAATGATTTATTAATTTGTCTTATAATTTATAAAATACTAAAAATTGTCTTTATAATAGATTTGTTGAACATTTAAATAGTGGATTGGTTAAAAAACAAGAAGTGATTAAATATTACAATGAAAATCAATATAAAAGTTTTTTTTATTACCCAAATGTATTTAATTCATTTTTAGAATACTTTTCTAAAAATAGTTATCTTCATTTTAAGAAATTATTATCAAGATTTGATTTTAGAAAAAAAATCGATAGATATATTTATAATAATAATAGTAATAACAATACAGATACAGTAAATAATAATAATGGTAATAATGATAACAATGATAACAATAATAACAATAATATTAGTAATAATGATATCCCAGATATAACACCAAATGCCTCAACTCCCGACTCTACTATCATCTCTTCTTTTCCACCAACCACAACATCTACCATAACAACAAATGACAATGTCCATTCTATAGTGATGACAAAAACATATTTAATGCCAACACACGAAACCTTAAGAATTATAATCGAAAATTACGAAAAAAGAAATGATATTCCAATGGTCGAATATTGGGTAAAGGTTTACAATAGAATTGGTAGATCTTATGATTTTCAAAAATCTCATACAGAATTATTATTAAGAAGTGTAATTAGAGCCAACATAAAATGTAATGCAACCGAAGAAGCAATTAAAAACTTTGAAATTTTAATATGGAACTCCAAAAACAACACCAATGATATTTTAATTGAAATGTTAGAATACCTAAATCAAAAGAAACTTTATAATTCAGGCAAAGATTTGATTTTAAAGTTTTATGAAAATATAGGGAAACAGTATTTGCAATCACAAAAAATTCATGCAGGTTTTATAATAAATTTATACAATAATAGTCTAGATAATAGTAGTAGTCCAGAAAATAATAATATAGATAATAATAATATAGATAATAATAATATAGATAATAATATAAATAATATAGATAATACAGAAAATATAGATACTTTAGATAATAATTATAACTATAAAAAAAAAGGATATTATGAAAGAATAAAAGATGGTAGTAACAATCATGAATTCCTAAATTTCTTAATTACAATCGAAGATATTTTAATTAAAAAAACAAAAGATAGAGTTTTGGATCCAGAACAAAAATCAGTAGTTAAACTATTTTATAGAGAATTGTTTAAAGAGTTATTAGAAAACAATCAAAAAAAAATAGCAGATACTATATATAAATTCTTCAATTCAAAATATATGCCAACTAAAGAAATATATCAATCATTTTTAATATATCATTTACAAAATGAAGAAGTCGGCAAGATTCCACAACTAATCAAATTATTAAAGGAAATAGATACCATACCAGATTTACCAGTATTGTTTTCAACCATAGATTTACTTAGTAGACATAAAGAAGCGCTCAAATTACAAGAAATCTACGATATATTAAAGCAAGAACACAAGAAATCACTTGTCTCCAATATTTCAAAAATGATAGTATTTTCTGAAATGAATGACTACAATCAAGTACTGGACTCTCTCAAAGGTTTTTTAAAAACAACACGATATACACCAGAAATTACCAACTCTGTTATATATATGTTTTTAACATTAAACCGTTATGACTTGGCACTAAAATGGTATGGTGAACGTATTGTTAACTATCAAGTCCTACCTAATAATATTACAATTTTACACTTTATTAGATATCACGAAAAAAATCAAATCAACAATAAAGAAATTAACCAACTATGGGAATCACGTTTGGCTTTATATACTAGTGTAAACTATAATCTATTAAAAGAGCATGGAGAGCGATTTAAAAGAAAGAAAGAACAAAGAGGTAATGATTTAGATAATAAAGATTACAACAACAGCAATGGTATAGACGATGAGAATAGTACAGATACAAATACAAATACAAATACAGATACAAATACAAATACAGATACAAATACAATTAAAAGCAATAACAGAGATAAATATTTTGAAGAAGAATACGATTTTGATTATAATAAAGTTTTATCAGGTTCACTATCAACATTAGACAAGTATACTCTTATGGGTAAAATAAAGATGGAAATGGTCAAATCAAATACTCTTCCCAGAGAACCTCACGACTTCACATTAGAACGTTATTTAACTGCTCAAAATCTCAGTGGTATAGCATACGAATTAAAGCAACAATTCAAGAGTGGTAAAATTAAAAATGGTTTAACTTTCCTTAAAGCAGTCATTTTCCTCCAACAACAAAGCCACACTAAATATTTTGAATTGAACCAGCTCCATCCCAATTCACTTTTCGAAGCAATACTTTTCAACGATATCTTTTATGCTGGTTTAATTAGTTCTGATTTAGAATATGGTATTACAATGCTATCAGGTATAGAGTCTATTATATGGAGAAAGAGCTCACCCATTTGGAATGCAACCATTGTTGGTCTTTTAAAGTATGGCAGATTTGAATTGGCTCTATCCTCAATCAATGCTGCTACAAAATTACACAAACGTTTATCAAGTAGTGAAATTCAAGATTTAATTGAAAACCCTGGATCATTTAAAGAAATTACACCAGAAACTTTAAAAATAATTAGATACAATTTCCAATATCGTAATGACTATATTCATCCAAAAAAACTAGAACATGTCAAAGTGGAAAAAAAAAATAAAAAAGCTCAAAAAAGCCAAGGAGAAAAGAGAATAAATGAAGATGATAATAATAATAATAATAATAATAATGATAATAATGATAATGATAATGATAAAACAATAATAGATGGTGCTGAAGATAAAAAAGAAGAAAATATCAAAAAGCTCACAGTAAAAGTTTTTAAATCAGAAAAAAAGAATTCACCCAAAGTTATAAAAACCGATTTGTCATTGTTTAAAGACACAACCCCAAATATTTAAAAATAAAGTAAAATATTTTTTTTTGATCATTTTAAAAAAAAAATCTGTCTATCAAAAATCTTAATCTTTGTGCATTATCCATATTTATATTATATAATTTATTTAGCTAAAAATATTTATTATTATTTGAAAAAAATGGTTATAGGTATGTAAATCATTATTAAATATTTGTAAAAAGAGTGGTATGTTGTATAGGATGCAAAAGAAATTGTGAGCTTTAATTTTAATTGATTATATAATATAAAAATATTTTATAAAAATCTAAATTTTATTGGATGTTAAAGACTACTTCTTTTGAAAGATTTAATATAATGAATAAAGTAATATAAATAAAAAAAATTAATAAAAAAAAAATATTTTTAAAAACAAAAAATAAAAAATAAACTTTAAAGAGTATATTTAAATTGATTGATGCTTATTATTTAATGGTGAAAAAGTGTGTACTTGTACTACTATGAAATGATATAAAATAAGTGAAGTACATTATATACAGAAGAAAATGGGTGGTTAAAAAAATAAAATAAAATAAAATTTTATTATTAATTTAAAATTTCAAAAATTATAATTATAAAAAAGATATTTTTTTTATAACTGTTATATCACTTTTGTAATAAGAGGTATAATGAAAGCCAATTATCTGATGTTTTTAATAAAAAAATTGTTAATAATTTAATATATTTGTGTTAATTATTTTTTGTAAAGAAGATAGATATAAAGCAAAATAAAAAATATTTAATAATGTAAGATAGTATTTAATAACTTTATTAATTGAATAAACTATAGATAGAGCAATATTAAAAAACAAATAGAACATTATTTTCATAAAAAATATAAAAAAAAATTATTTAATATAGGGAAATTTGGATGGAGCAGCTTCAAAATAAATTTAACTAAATCAAATAATCAAATCAAATAATTATTATTGTTTTTAAACTATATTATAAATACATAACTATTATTTAAAATGAAATTTCATTAAACATAAATTATAATCATAAATTATAAAGAAAATAAACAATTGTTTTTTTAGTTTTATTTTTTTTTTTTTTTTTTTTATTGTTTATAATTTTTTAATTTTTTAAAAAAGAGTCTTTAAAAAAATTTTTTTTTTTTTTTAATTAAAAATTATAGCTTTTACAACACACACATAATTTTTCATTCACCAGCCTTTTTTTTTTTTATAATAGCATACATTTAATAATCTTTGTTTGTTTTTACACATTTCCCTTTTTGTAAATAGTATTTATCTTTTTTTTGTAAATATTTTATTGTATATTAAAATATTTTTATATTTTTTTTTTGTACATATTTTCATTTTATTTTTATTTTTTTTGTAAATAATTTATATTTTTTGTTTTGTTAATAATATATTTCTTTTTTTTTGTATAGTTTTCTTTTTATCAGCTTTTTTGTTATTTATTTTGTTTTATTTTTTGTGTTTCATTTTATTTGTAAATAATTTTTTTGTAAAAAAATGCATGAATTTTTAAAATTGTGTGTTTATTTATTTTTTGGTACCATCTGTTGGAATTTACCATCTTTTATTGGTATATTTATTTTCAAAAAAACCAAAAGAAACAACAAAGAAAAGGATGACTGCCAATGTTGGAACAGTGAAGACAATTACTGGGCAGGTCAGGTACTCCAACAACAGGAAAAACTCCCACAAATCCAACAGATCCAAAAAATTCAACAAACCCAACCACAAGAACAACAAGAACACCTCCAACACCTCCAAATCCACAAAAAACTCCATCTTAACCAACAACAAGAACACCTCCAACAACTTCAACAAAAACAACAAAACCAAGAACACCAAAAACTCCTACAACTCCTAGCACTACAACCAAAAGGACCACAGCAATCCCAACAACCAAAACAAACACAACAACCAATTCCACAACAACCAATTCCACAACAACCAATTCCATTCATCCAAAGAATTCGTCAGCAACCCCAACCACAACAACCACAGCAATCACAACAGACAATCCCATTCATCCAACGAATTCTTCAGCAACCCCATCCACAACCAATTCATCCACAACCAACACAATCCCTAACCGAAAATGCTCCAATAAAGCCAAATGAAATTGATTTATCTTTGGTCAATTCAAATGGAAGATTAAGTCTAGATCCAACTCCATTGAATGAAACAGAAAAGGCATATATACGTTTAAATGAACGTATCGAACTTTATCAATTGATGCCAAAAAAGGAAATCCCAGGTGATGGTAATTGCCAAATGCATGCACTATCAGACCAGATTTTTGGTGACTTGGAGCATAGTGTAATAATAAGAAATAACATTGTCGATTGGCTTAGACAAAATAAAGGTTTTTACCTTCCAAATGGAGAAACCCTCTCAGACTTTGTAACTACAAACAGTTGGGAGGAATATTGTGATAGTATGTCCAAAAATGGCACATGGGGCGATCATTTAACATTGGTCGCTGCAGCTGAAATTTATAAAAAAAATATTTCTATAATATCTTCAGTTGAATCCCAGAGTAGTTCTTTCATAGAAATTACTCCAAGCATTAAATGCGAGAATGGAATTTTGTTATCACATTTTTCAGAATTCCATTATGGTTCTTTATGCCCATTGGCTAATTAAACCATTCTATCGGTAAGTTATTTTATTTTCCCACTATTTTTTTATAAACTATTTTATATTAATTCATTTTATTTAATATATTATTTTAGCAATTTTTTAAGCCATAATCAAGTAATATATTACAAAGATTCTTAGCCGTCTATAGCCTTGTTGTAGTATGATAAATTATTATCACCCACAGAGATTTTTAAAATTTCTTTCAATTTTTTAAACAATGACCGGTTAATAATAATAATTTTAAAAGCTTTTAAATATAAGTAAGTAAATAAGCACATTATTTTACAAACAAAAAAAATCTATTTAGATATGTGATTTATTTGTTAAATATATAAATTACTAATACAAATTAATTTTTTTAATATTTAGTGTAAATTTTGGACAAAGTTGCAGTGTCTTTTTAATCGGTTAGTTCCATCAACCTCTACTTTTTTTCAAGTGGTATAATCGGACTCATTGGTGTACCAAGTAGTGGCTGTTTCAAATAGTAATATAGTTTAGAACCGGCACCAAGTATTAATGTAGAATCTGGATCATGTATTAATGTAAAATCTACCTTGAATCATTTATTTCATCAAGTAGTGTAAAATCTGGATCAAGTTGTAATGTGGAATCTGCAGAATTTGTTGCGCCAGTGACAGCACCTTAGAATATGTTTCATCTTAGTGGTGTTTCATCTTAGCCAACTGGTGGTGACTATGCAGCTCAAAGAGTCTAGCTGTTCGTTAAATATTTGTATAAAAAAATAAGAAAAAGCTATAACCATTCATAACTTTTTGAAAGTGCTGAAGAGTCTTGGTATTATTATGAAGTTGTTATTCTTTTTGATACCCCTATATGGATTTTTAACTCATGTTTGTGGCAAATTTCTAACTAATCAAGTAACCAATGAAGCTCATCCAACCAGTCAAGTAACTAATGATAGACTTCATCTATTTACTCAACTATTTTATTAATATCATTAATTGCTCTGGCCAAGCAAATATGACCATAGAAATCAAATAGTTTTAGGAGAAGAGAAACTGAAGCTTCGGTGTAACTATTAATCAAACTAGGGAAACAGTCACAATGGTGTTATTTAATCAAATATATTTAAAAATGCTCTGTAAAGGAATTAGTATCTGATAGAGGTAGTTTCATAAATAATGTCTCATTTCTGCATGAATGTAAATTTATAATTAGACTTATAAATTACTAGAAATTTTCAAATAGAGATTCTCCGGTCGTTGAACACTTTATCAATTGTAGCTCCGCCATTATTACCCAATTAGTGCTTCAACTAGTAAAGAAGATCCAAGCGCAATTAGACCAATCAATATTTTAAAAAACCAAATTAATTAAAATAAAAATAAAAATTTTCAAAATAAATAATAAATAAATCCTAGTAATTAAATAAATTTACAATTATTTGTTTGTAAATCGTATAAATTTTTTTTTTTATCAATTTACCAATAGACATAAAATAACAACACAAACACACCATAATTTTTTTCTTTTTCGCCCTTCTTTAAATTTTTTTATATTCACACTCATTAACAAAAAAAGAAGAAAAAGTCAAACAAATATTATGGTAATTTTTAAATTTTTTTACTTACAAATATAAACATATAAATAATAAACATTAACAAAAAATAAAAATTTATTATATATTAGGTTTTTGAAACGTCAAAAAAAAAAACTGAACATTTACAAAAAATTAAAATTAACCCTATTTTTAAATTCAAAAAAATATAAAATAAAAAATATTGTGAAATTAAATCAGGGGGGTGTTTGGAGGCGTTTTTTTAAAAAAAAATTAAGAAATGAAAATTTTTTTTTTATGTGCATCACTTTTTTTTTATACATAAAAAAAAAAAAAAAATTTCATTTCTTAATTTTTTTTTGTCGAGACACCCCCTTAAATTTTTTTTTTTTTTAAATCTTCAGGTCAAGATATAAAACAGTTAAAACTGATAAATTTTAACCCCATAGTGGTTCTAAAAAAAGATGGGAATGTTAACTGGCAAAATACAAAATAAAAGATGTTATAAAAAAAAAATTTTAAATTAAATTTTAATTATTTTTTTTTGCTTTAAAAGTTTTTAATTCAAATTTAAATTATTATTTTTCTAATTGTTGTTATATAAATTATTTAAAAAAATGGAAGATAAGTATATGGAAATTAAATCTAGTGAAGATGATTTAATGGCTTCAACTGGTAGTATTTTAAGTGGTGTAATTGGATCTATTCCGGTCGTTGGTAGCTTTCTAAGTGGTATTTTTGGTGCATTTTGGCCAGGCCCTAAGTATCTAACTGTTGAAGACTTTGAAAAAGAAATTAAAAAATTAAAAGAACAAATGATTGCTCTGATGGATCAAAAGATTGATGCTGCACTTGATAGAGTTTTTAATGCAATTATTGACACTGAAGTTTTAGCTTTATTAAATTCTGGTAATAATTTTTCAGATGCTGTCAATTTATGGGCAGAAAGAAATGGCCAAAAAGTCTCCAATGTACCAAAAAAAAAAAGTAAATTTGCTATGGAAATTCAAGATTTAGGTGATGAAGCAATTAAAGAGCTATGCAGAACTCAATATCAAATATTCACTGGTGATGCTGAAAGATGTCTTATCCTATTATCTGATGATAGATTTAATGAATATTCATTAAATTCCCTCGTTTTTACAATGGCACATTATGTTTCTTCCCAATTGGAATGTATTACCAATGGTGTCACATGGGGTTTTCCAGAGAGTTTTATTGAAGGGTATGCATTATTTATTTTTATATATAAATAAAGAAATCTATAGTAGTTACTAATTTTTTAATTACATAAAACCTTTATAGTAATGGAGGAAGTATTATTGGTGTAAAGGCAAAACTCCGTGAAAAAATCAACAGATTCCATATGGATTGCGGAAAAGCCTATCAAAAAGCATTAAAAAAGGGTGCTCAGACTTCCCATATAGATGTTATGAGGACTGTGGTTGCAGCAGGTTTAGTTCACTATTCAGATAAAAGATTATTTGAATATCCTGTTATCAAATTGGAAAATCTCCCATCAGAATTTGTTTTGGAAAAATTTAATAAAACATATGTTCCCATGATGTTTTATTATCGTAACAAAGCCACAACTAAGGAAGATCATGCTATAGATCATGTTACAGGTCAATGGCAAGTTACAACTCTACTTAATCAACCTCGTGATGAACAATTAGTATTCACCTTTAAATTTATTACCCCTCCATGTAAAAAATTTAATTTAAGACTTCATATTGCTGCATTTAAATCCAATGAATATACTGTCAATGTAAAACATAGAGATGGTACTGTTTTTTCAATCAAAACAAATTCTTTAACCAATAACTGTCCAACTATGGAAGTAATTAGACAAACTATAATTAATGGTGGCCAAGTTCCATCTGATATAAAGTATGGAATTTATTCAAAAACATTTGAATTATCATCCCCTGTTACATCATTAGAATTAAAGATACTCAGTATTCATTCCTCAGGCAGCCAATCTGATTGTCTTCACTTTGAGGATTTAAATGTTACACTATTGGAATAGATACATCTCCATTTTATCAACTTTTTTTTTATAATTAAAAAATTAATTAATAAATAAATAAATATAATTAAAGAAAAAAGAATAATCTCTTGAATATTGGAAAAAATCTAACAGAGGGTAAATTCATTTTTTTATTAGAAAAATAAATAAAAAATAAAAAATAAATTTAATTAATTTGATAGGATTTATTTTGCTTGGAATTTAAATAGGGTATTTTTTGATTTTTGATATTTGGTATTTTAATAAGGTGATATAGCTAGAGATTAAAAAACATAGTTAATTTTAGTTTTTACCAAAACTTTGCATTAATGGATAGAAATCAATTCTATTATATAGCTATGCTTTTAGATTTATAAAAAATTTATTTTCAAATGAGATATGTCATAATTTTCTACAAATTAAACGATATCTTTAGAAGAATTTAATATATTCAATTTAATCTTTCATTATTTTTTACTATCTAGATATTTTTTGTGTTGAATTGGATCATTTAATGCATAATTTCTCAAAATACCTTTAATTGTTGATCACCTGAATCCAATTATTTCTCCTTTTTTTTTTGAATGGTTACATCCATATTTATAAATTTTTAAAAATTTCTATTTTTTTAAATTTATTATATCGGTTTGTTTTATTTATTATAGTTTTATTAAAATATAATATTATTATAATAAAAATAAAAAAAATAAGAAAAATAATAAAAAATAAAAAAGTTAAAAATTAATTGAGTCATGCTATTTAATTGTCGCTAAATAAAAACCAGATGTCAAATCAGAAGAAGAATCAATAATGAGTGTATCAGCTGGACCATTATATTAAAAGAGGGTTGGTTTATTTATTACTCTTTTTTTTTTTTTTTTTTTTTTTTTTTTTTATTTTTATTTTTCTGGTCAGAATGATGACGCTCAAATTTAATTTTTTTTTTTTAAAATTATTTTTAAAATTTTTTTTTTTTAAAATTTTTTTTTAATTTTCATTTTTTTTTTTATTTTTATACTTTTATAAAAAAAATAAAATTAAAGAAAGAATGAAAAGAAATATAATAGTATTATTTTCATTATTTGTATTTTTATGTTTGGCTGTGAACACAGCTAAAGCAATCGTTATTGGTATCGATTTAGGCTCACAAACTTTTAAAGTAGCTGTTATTGGACCAAATAAATTCGAAACTGTTTTAAATGATCAATCAGGTAGAAAGACAATTTCACAAGTTGGTTGGTTTAAAGATGAAAGAATTTTTTCATCTGATGCCTTTAATACTGTAAGTTTAAATACATATATATTTTTTCAATAGTTAATAGTATCAAAAATGATGTTCACACCTCCCCAAATTTGTTACTATATTCACATTGTATACATTATAATATAAAATAAAATATTAATATATATTATATATATATATATATTATTAAATAAATAGTGGGCAAGAAACCCAAAACAAATTTATAATTTAGTTCAACCATTTTTAGGTACTGAGTATCAAGAAGGTATGGTCGAAAAAGTTGGTAATGGATTTTTAGGTTTTAAAGTATCTAATGATACTGAAAGAAATACATTTGCAATTCAATACAATGATGAAGTCAATTATTCACCAGAAGAATTAACAGCCATGCTTTTAAAGAGAATTAAAGACATGGCAACTGCATACATTGGCTCATCAGTTAAAGATTGTGTTATTACAATCCCACCATTCCTTAATCAACAACAAAGACAAGCACTTTTAGATGCCGCTGATTTAGCTGGCTTAAATGTTTTATCATTAATTCAAGATGTTAATGCTGCTGCTCTTAGTTATGCAGTTGATCGTACCTTTAACGATAAGAATCAAACCGTTGTATTTTATGATATGGGTTCAAAATATACCAGAGTCTCTTTAGTTGAATTTGAATCACACGATGAACCAATCAAAGGAACTAAAAAAAATAAAACTGTTTGTAAGTAATAATAATAATAATAAATAGAAAATAATATAGTTTAATATTAATTATTTTTTCATTTTAATATTTCTATTTTAGCATCAGTTACAGTTAAAGCTATTGATTGGGATGAAAATTTAGGTGGTTATGATTTTGATATGGTTATTGTTAATTATTTAAAGAGTTTAATTAAAAAACAAATCCCATCAGCCAATATTGACGACGTTAAACTTACCATCAAGTTATTAAAGGAAGCATCTAAAATGAAAGAAAACCTTTCAGTCAATCAACAAGCTCATATTTTCATTGGTAGTTTAGTTGATGATATTGATTTCTCTGCCTCAATTACCAAAAAAGAATTTGAAGAATTATCAAAACCATTAGTTAAAAGAGCCATCGAACCATTAAAAAGATTAATTGAAAGATCTGGTATTTCATTAGTAAGTTTATTTGGAATTTTAATTTAATATTACTAAATAATATAAACCAATACAAATTACTAATAATAATGTATTATATAGAAATCAATTGATTATTTCGAAGTTATTGGTGGTGCTATCAGAATCCCATCAGTTCAACAAGAATTAAAAGAATATTTAAAGAGAGATACTTTAGATAAACATTTAAATGGTGATGAATCAATGTCAAGTGGTGCAGCATTTTATGCAGCAAGTTTAACTCATTACTTCAGAGTCAAAGAAATCAAATTCAAAGATATTTTACCATATCAAATTGATGCTGAAATTAATTACCAAAGTGTCAATACCAACGAAGGAATTGAAAACACTGAAGATGCCGACAATAATGAAGACACAGCCACTACCACCCAATCAAAAGATAAAAAGATTCAATTATTTAAAGCAAACTCTAAAATGGGTATTAAAAAGACAGTTTCATTCACAACCGAAAATGGCTTCTCACTTACTCTCAACAATCCAACTATAAATAAAGGTATTGCAGTCTACACCATCGACTCACTCCCAACTCCAGGTGAAAAATACAACTTTACTGGTAAACCAAAAGTACATTGTGGCTTTAGATTAACTTCAAGCGGTATTGTAGTTTTAGAAAAAGCTGAAGCTGAAATCACTGTTTCATTAATTAAACAACAACCAAAACCAACTAAAGAAACTAAAGAAACCAAAGAGAAATCAAGCGATGATGCAGCCTCAGAAGAAAAACCAACTGAAGAACCAGTTATCGAAGTTGAACCAGTCATTGAATACTATCAAAAAACCATCAGAGTACCATTATCCTATACTGTTAAAAATTTAGGTGTACAACCAATCTCATCTGATCTTCAAAAAACAATGAAAACCAGACTCGATGGGTTAGATACCGGCGATAGAATTTTAAGAGAATTAAGACAAGAAAGAAACAATTTAGAATCATTCATCTATGAAACCAGAGATAAAGTAGAATCAAATGACGAATACATTTCATGCTCTACCAAGGAAGAAAGAGATGAACTTTTAGCTGAATTAGAAATTTCATCCAGTTGGTTATCAGACGCCCAAGATGCCGACAATCCAAACACTGAAGAATACAAACAACAATTAGCCGCAATTAAAAAGAAAGCCGATAAAATCATTAATCGTGTCAAAGAAAGAAATTTAATTCCAACCGCTTTTGATGAATTAGAAGCTCTCATTAAAAAAGTTACCGTCATGTATAACGACGTTTCAAAAGATTTAAATATCACCGAAGAAGAACACAAAGAAACTTTACAAAAGATTGAAACCATTAGCAAATGGGTAAAAGAAAAAAGAGGAGAATTCAAGGCCGCTGATTTAACAAAGAATCTCCCATTCTCATCATTCGAAATTAAATTCAAATTATACGATTTAGAAAAATCAATGAAAGAAGTTTTAAAGAAAAAGAAAAAGCCAGTTAAGCCAACCACCACCAAAAAAGATAAGAAAAAGCCAGCTAAAAAAGAAACAGAAGAAGAGCAATCTGAAACCACTGAACAACAAAAAAATCAAGATGGTGCCTCAGAAGATAATAGAAATGAACAATTCAAAGAACAAAATGAACAAAACGAACAAAACGAACAACAATTTGAAGACGGAGCTTCAGAAGAAAACGAAGATAAAAAAGAATCAAAAATCCATGATGAATTATAAACAAATAAATTAAATATTAATAATAAACAGTTAAACTATATATAATACGATCTTTTTTTTTATAAACAAAAAAAAAAAAAAAATACCTTCTTTATTTTATTTTTTTATTTTTTTTTTATCTTTTTTTTTTATTTTTTTTTTATTTATTTATTTATTTATTATATAATTGACATATATATTATATATTTATAAACCTTGACCTATTTATAAAATAATAGATTAATGATTAGTATATTTACATGCAAGGGGTTTTAATAATTATTTTTATTATTAATACATACGTCTTCTTTCAGTAGCTTTATCTTCGGCAGCTTTCTTTTCTTCTTCTCTTCTTTTGGCAGCTTCTTCTCTTTGTTTTCTAATGACTTGTAATCTTTCTAAATCTGCTCTTTGTTGTTTGGCGTTTTGTTTTGCGGTAAATTGTTGTTTGGCAATTTCTTCTTTTTCTCTACGTGATAACTCAGTCTTTTGGTTAATATTAATTTCACTGACTTTTTTAGTAACATTCTTTACTCTGTTTGGATTGTTAACTTCTAATTCGTCTGAATCGCTTTCTTCTTCTGAATCGCTACCTTCGTCGGATTCTTGTTTCTTTTGTTGAGCTGGTTTAATAAATGATTTTCTTTGTGGTTTTTCATCTTCTGATGAGGAGTTGTCTGAATTATCTGAACCTTCTTCTTCTGATGATGATAATGCTTGGTTTCTTCTCATAACTTCTTCATCATCTTCGTATACACGATCGTGACCTTTGCCTTTATTTTTATTTTTTTCATAATCTCTGCCAAATTGTTTGGTTGTAGCTGGTGCAACAGCACCTGCTCTACCTCCTCTTTTTCCTGCCATAGTTATAATCTAGTTTATATGTATATCTCTAAAAGTAAGAGTTTTGTTATTACTTGGTTTTTTTTTTTTTTTAGAAAATTATAAAAAAAATTTTATTTTAAAAAAAAAATAAAAATTTTAAAAAAAAAAAATAAAGAAAATTTTAAAAAAAAAAAAAAAATAAATTTTAAAAAAAAAATTAATATTTTAATTTTTTTAGAACCTGTTATTTTTTATTTTCATTTCACGATTTATTTATTGGATTAATTAAATAATGAATTAGTTTATAAATAAAAAATAATTAGAATTTAAAAAAGAAAAAAAAAAGAAAAAATTCTATTTCCAAGTTTTTTGGGTTCAACAATTTCATTTTTATGAGTATTATGCTGTAATATAAACAATAAAAATAATAACTATTATAATAATGATAATAAATATAAAAAATAAATAATAAAACAAATAATAATAGTATTGATAATAATTATAATATGATTTAAATAAGTGGTAGCAAAATAAGGTTAGCATGTATTTTAATGTATATTTGGAACCAAAGGATATCATACTTAGGTCTCTTTTTATCTTGAGGTCTAATTTACAAGGGATATTTCAATGAAAAGAATGTTCAAATAGAGATTAGGTCAAGAAAATAGATATCGTTTTGTAAGTTTCAAATTTTATAAAAGGTTTTTAAAGAATTTCATAACAGATATATAATCCACTTAATTTAATAAATATTTATATCTTTTAATAAAATAGTTTAAATAGTTTTAAAATAGTTTAAAAATAAAATAAAATAAATAAAATAATAATAATAAAATTTATTCTTAAAATAAAATTATTTGATTTCTTTTTTATTATAAATAAATATAACAACCCAATCTTAAATAATTAGGTTCGCTTTATTTTAAAAGATTACAGATAAATAAATAAAAAAAAAAAAAAAAAAAAAAAATAATATATCCACAAAGGTTTTTTCTATTTTATTTATTATTATTTGTTATTTTAATAAATATATTGTTTTATTTAACTTTATTTTTTAATATTTTTGTTTTAACAACAATATTACTAAAAGGTAAAAACATATTTTATATTTATATTTTAATATATCTATAGATTTATTCTAAAAATAAGACAGAACCATTTAGAATATTTAAATAATTAAAATTTAAAGGGGGTAATTAATTTAATTGATGTCTTTATTCCAGCATGTTTTTTTTTTCTTTAATTAAACACCCCATACGTTTTTTCTAGTTCACGTGTTTTTATTATTTTATTAATAAAACATTGTTAATGGATTTATTTATAAATTATACTAAAATAAAGTATATAGGATACCTCTCTTTGTCCTTCTATTTGTTTAAATTAATTGAAATTTATTGTTTTGTTTACCCCATTAACCCCACTTTTATTTTTTTTTCATTAAACAATTATTAAAACCTCTTCAAAATCATTACTATATCTTTTAATTTGTTAAAAGTTTTATTTTTAATTAATAATAATATTAATAATAATAAAATCAATATATAGTAATAATAATAATAATAGTTTGATTTTATTTCCATTGAATTTATTATTTTATTTTAACTAGATAATAGATTAAAAAAGAATAAAAAATAAATGTAAAAAAGATTCTATTCGATCTTGTCATTAATTTAAAGTGTCAATTATATCAGAAGTATATGTCTTTTAGAGATTTTTTATTATTGATTATTTTAATATATTAATTTAAAAAATAAAATAGTTTTTAAAAACTAATAAAAGAATTAAAAAGAAAAAAATTATAAATAGAAGAATTTAAAATTTTTTTTTTAAATCATTCAATACAAATTATTTAATTGTACTAATAAAAATCAAAATGTTATTCAGTAAGTATTATAGTTTTGTAAATAAAATATACAAATAAAAAAATAAAATTATTAAAAAATGTATTTTTGTTTATAGAATCATTACAATCAATCACCATCAAATCAAACAACCAAAGAACTCAAACTTCATCATCATTTGGCTCTGTTCAACAATCATCCAACACTGTTTCATTACTTGATGCTAATGTCCATGCCATAGTTGATGCTACTCCATTAGCATTAATAACTGCTGATGCAACCGTTCATGCATAAAGCTTTTTTGTTGTAATCCAAAAAAAAAAATAATAAATTAAATTTTAATTTAAATAAATTAAATTATTTAACACTTTAATGTAAATCTTAACAATAGTTCCTATTTTATTCCTTTTCTATATTATATTTTACTTTTTTTTTTTATTATTTTTTCAATTTCAAGTGTACTTTTTTTTTTCTTATTATTTTTTTTTTTTTTTATTATATTTTATATTTTTTTTTTCTTTCTAATCGATAGATTAGTTTCAAGAAATAAAAGTTCTCAATAGTTAATAGATAATCTGAAATTTACAAAATTGAAATTTTTTAGTTTAAGTTGATTCTCCTAATTATTAATAGATTAAAAAAAATTTTAATATTTATTTTTTTATTAATTAATTAAAAAAAAAAACTATTTAACCAAATAATTTTTTTTTAATAATTCATTAATTTATTAAATTTATAAATACAATAAAGAAGCTTTAAAATGTTATTCAGTAAATATTTTAGTTTTATAAACCTAATATTTAAAAAAAAAAAGTAATAGTATTATTAATTTTTATTTTATTTATTTAGAATCATTACAATCAATCTCAAACAAATCAACCAACCAAAGAACCCAAACTTTATCATCATTTGGTTCTGTACAACAAACATCAAATCAAATTTCTTTGATTGATGCTGATGTCCATGCTGTAGTTAATCTTCTCCCATTAGCCTTCATTACTGTTGATGCAAATGTTCATATTTAAGGGCATGGGTGTCAAAAATTCAATATTATAATTGTATAATTATAAATTATGTAACATTTAATTATATTAAATAAAAAATATTATCTTATTTCAAAAATTCTATAAATCTTTATTTTTTTGATTAAATATAAAAAATTAAAATAAAACTTGATTATTGATTAAAAACAGGCCTTTTTAATACTAATTTAAAACCATGGTTTTCATTTTATATAAAAAATAGCAATAATTTACTCTTGTCTAAAAAAAAAACTAACCCCATTATGACACACATCATTTTTATTTTATTTTACCAATATATTAAAAATAAAACTATTGTTGTCAAATAAACAATAAAATATTGTTTAAAAATAGATGTATCTTTTTTCTTTATTCTATTTTTATAAATTTTAAATAACGAATTTTTTTAATTATAAACTTTTTTTTTTAAAAGATAATTTCAAAAAAAAAAACAAATAGAGTAATAGATTCTATCATTTTATAATAAAATGTTATTAATAGATTAAAAATTGTGGTTAAAATGATTAAAAGATATCATTTGATTAAAAATAATTTTTTATATAATATTATATAAAATCTATAAATAATTATTTATTTAAAAAACTATTTTTTTATATAAAGAATTCGAATATAAATAGAGAATTAAAATATATTATTTTCATTAAATTAAAACAAATATTTATTTAATATACCAAAAACTAAAATGTTATTCAGTAAATATTAAAATGATTAAAAAAGAATTTTAAAGTTTCTTACTAATTTTTATTTTTTTATTATTATAGAATCATTACAATCATTAAACATTAAATCAAACAACAAAAACACTCAAGTCTCATCAAACTTCAGTAACAATCAACAATCATCAAATAATGTTCAATTACTTGACTTAACTGCTGTTGCAGTTGTTAATATTCTCCCATTAGCTTTTGTTGCTGTTGCTGCTGATGTTCACATTTAAAACCGTGTCAAATATTGTTGTATTTATAATTTAAATTTAAAAATTTAAATCAAAATTATATTTTAATAAATAAATATTATTAAAATTATATCACCAAAACTATAAAAATATATTTTTATTTTTTTATTATTTTTTATTTTTTTATTTTTTTTATGTATTAAACTAATCAAAATATTATTAAATATTTTTTTTTTTTTTTTTTTATCGTTCCCACCGATTTTTTATATACTCCGCAAGAAAAAATTTCAATTAATAAAAAAAAGATAACAATTACCAAGATTCCGCAGAAATTTCCCACAACTAACCACTAAATACAGAAGCTTTAGTATGTGTCTGAAATACTCCTTTTATAAAAATTCGAAAAACGAAGTGACTTGTGTCAGATCAAAAAAAAAACTATTAGTTTTTAAAATATGCAAAAAATAAATGTTATAAAAATGTGTCAAAAAAAAAAAAAATCTTTTTTTTTTCTAAAAAATTATGTTTTTTATATTTTTTATATTTTTTTTAATATTTTTTTTATTTTTTTTTTAACATCACCCAAAATAACTCCACAAGAAACTCTTTTATCCCTAAGAGAATCTTTGTGTTATAAAATCTAAAACTTACACAAAATGTAAAAAAAAAAAATCAATCAACCAATCAATCAAAATTTTTAGTATAAAAAAAAAAAAATTTATGCCATTTTAATTATTATTCATAGTAGTAATAAATAATAAATAATAAGTAATAAATGTCTACTACACCAACTGATTTTGCCGAATGGTATAATTCACAACAAAAGATTGTTGAAGCCTATCAAAAAGATGGAACATTACCAGTAGAAATAACAAATAGTAATGTTTCAGAATTTCAAAAATATTATTTATTAAAAAATCTTTTACAAGTTGGTGTTTCATATATCCCATATGTAAGCTCATTGGTTAGTTTCGTTATTGATGCCTCATGGGATACATTAAACAACCAAAGCCAGATGTTATGGAATTCCTATGTCGATATGGTCAATTCTGCAATTTCCACATATGATTTAGCTACAGTTAAAAGCCAGGTAGAAGAGTGTAAAGACTATTCAAAGAAATTCCAAACCCAAAGAAAAAATTTAGCAAAAACTCCAAACGATGAAAAATTAAAAAATGATTGCAAGGTTGCTTTCGTCAATTTCGAAACTAAAATCAGTAGTTTATTGGTAAAGAATTCATCTACAAGAAAAGACGAGTATTGCTACCAAGAACTCGCCGCTTTTACATTCCTTGCAACCACCCACCTTTTCCTTTTAAAGCTTGCAATTGTAGAAGGTTCAAATTGGAATCTCGCTGATGCTTCCATCAACACATATAAAACCGATTTTACAAGCAAAACCAACGAATATATTGCCCACACTGTTACTTCATATTCAAAAGGTATTGAAAAAATTAAATCATTAACTGTTAGCAGTGTCGAAAAATTCAATCGTATCGTAAGTAATACTATTAGATAAAAACAATCTATACATGTAAATTTCATAATACTAATATTGTCTTTAAAAATAAGAACCAATTCCGTAAATTTTGCTCAATCTATGTTTTCGATATTGTAGACGGTGTTTGGATAGGTTTAAAAGACAAATTCAATGGCACCGGTATTAATGTTCAAAATGTTAGATACATATGGTCCAATTTGATGGGCGGGGAATCCCAAAACTACTCTATTGACCAATTGGAGCAGTACTATAGCAGTCATGATCAGTATAAAAAAGAAATTAAAAAAGTAGATTTTGAAAACGATGGTTATTGGTTATACGGAATGAAAACCTATTATAAAGATCCATCAGCTACTAATAGTGAAACCAGCTCTTACTTTGGTATCTCAAATGGTAAAGCAAGTAGTACCTATACTGTTTCATTCCCAACTACACCAACCTCAACTTCTATGCTCGGTGATATAGATGCAATTTCACCTCGTAAAATTCAATTCAATGGTGTCTCTGGTAACAGTGTTTTAACTCTTTCAAAAGATGCCAATCATTGTCAGTAAGTATTACTAATTATTTTACATCATTTTAAAATACAAATAACTAAAATTATTATATTTAGAGTTAAAAATGATCCAGGTGGTAAATATAACTTTTATGAAAACTCTAGCTACCCTGAAACTAGTGTTACAAATCATAAAATTGGTGCATTAGTCGGTGGTAACACCAATAAAACCAACGATACCTCATATGGATTCTTTTCAAATGGTAAAGATGGTTTCTTGGATAGCATTTTAACAGGTTTCATTCCATATGTAAGAGGTTTATTATTTATAAAAAAAAAATATAAAAAAAAGAATTCTAATTTTTTATTTTAAATCTATTAAACAGGAAGTTTATAATGATAACTATTTATTCCAAGGACCTGCAACTTTAACAAATGCACAAAAATTCTATAGCAAAGATGATAATGTTGTATTCCAACGTGATCATGTTTTACCAACAATCCACGCAATGTTTATGCCAGCAAAGTCTAGTATCGTATTCAGATTCACCTACAAGAATACCAATACAACTGTAACTAAATATAATGTCGGTGTAAGATACCACTTTAGCGGTGGCCAAGCTACTGCCTCAATTGTTGTTAAAAAACCAGATAATGAGGACAAAGGTACCATTGCTTTAGCTAAATGTAGCAAATCTGCAGATAACAATGGCTTTAATGAATACAAAATTGCCCTCTTAAACCAAACAATCAATTTTGCAAACTTTTCCGAAAGACAAATTACATTAAAAGCAAACAATAATTTATATCTTCATTCTATTATTTTAATTCCATCCAAAGCAAATTCTGCTTAAAAATAAAATAAAATAAAAGATAATATAAAAAATAAAAAATAAAGTTATTTAAAAAATTGTAAGTAATTTATTTTGTTTTTTAATTTTAGATCATTAATAAAAAAAAATTGATAATTCTTTGGAAATTTAAGGGAAAGACACTATTTGATTTTGATGATAGTTTGGTAAGATCCTTTTAATTGAACCTCTTCTTGTTTTGAAATATTATTATTTCTTTAATATTTAAAAAAAAAAAACTATAATTATTTTTGTTGTTGATGTTGCTGCTGTTGATATTGTAGTTTGGTGGTATTGTTTAAGGCAGTTGTTATTCAATATTAATATGTAATATACACTTTGTGGGTTGTTTGTTTTTTTTTTTTTTTTTGAGTGAAATTTTTTTATTTATTTTTGTTAATTTTTTTTTTTTATTTAACTTTACCATTATTATGAACGAGGTGAGTTTATTTGTTTAATTTCGATAAAATTGAAGAAATGTTTGAACACGCCTCATTGAAAATACACAAGATTTGAAGAGATTGCACTTAATTTTTATTTTTATCTTTTTTAATTTTCTTTTTTTTTTTAATGAAATCTTGATTTAAATTCTTTAAAATTTAATATTAAATAAATTATTATCATTATTTTTTTTAATTCTCTTTCTTTTTAATATTAAAAAGAAAGAGTAACTCTATGCATTAGTATTGTGTTATATGTGTGTGAGTTTGTGTGTTTGAATGTGGGTGTGTGATTAAACCCACTCATTTTTATTATTATTATTTTTATTATCATATCATTATCTTTATCATTTGTTATTTATTTATTTATTTATTTATTTATTTAATATTTATTTATTTATTATTTAATCTTTTTTAATATTTTTTTTTTTTTTTTTTTTTTTATATTATTATAATCATTATTTTATTAATAAAACTTATTAAATAAACTATTAAATATATATAGATACACTTGTTCAATATTTCTTGATAATATTGTGGTATATACTTTTAAATTTCTTGAAAATTAGACACTTTTTCAAAGTAAACAATTTGATTTTTTTTAAAAAAAAAAAATATTTTTAAATTAAAAAAAAAAAAATTGTATAAATTAAATAATTTTATTTAGATAAAAAATTAAAATGTAACTATTATTAACACCATTGCTGATATCATTATTACTATAAATATAAATTATTTCTACTTTTTCATATTACACATATTCCAAAACAAAAACCTACCAAATCAAACTAATCAAGTTGATTTCTTTATTAAATCAGATTAATAAAAATATACATACCAATAATAACATAATTATAACAATAAATAAACAAATATATAAACAAAAAACAAAACAAAAATCATCACAAATTTGATTACTTTTATTATTTATAAAAAAATATATTCAGTCTATAATAGAAATCTAATTTTAGTTTTTCACTTTTATTTAAACCTCTAAAAAGTATTCAAAAATAAAAAACTATAAATAATATTAATATATATATACAAGTAAAGCCCATTAAAATAATATTATAAATATTTTTTTCTTTTTTTTTTTTTTTTTTTTTTGTAATTTAAAATAATAGTTTACATTTAAATGTAATAATGGTGCGAGGATGTATTATTTTGTAATTTTATTTGGTGTGTGATGATATTTATAAAATAACAAAATTCCTGAACCAAAATTTTTTATATCTTTTTTTTATTTTTTAAAATATCAACAAATTCCAAAAATCAATCACAAAATCACATTTTAATCACCCACACATGCACACCGTTATTGATTTTGTGCGGCTCATAAAT